ACATTTCACCCCCTTGCCTGTTGATGGTGGTCAGAGAGCCTGGTGGCGCCCCTGCATGACAGCTTCTCTTGTCAGAACAGCTGTAGGCTATTGGCTTGCCACTGTCAGTGTGTGATCGTGTATGTGAATGAATATGTAACAAACAATAAAAATAATAATAATAAACTAAGAAATTATAACCAAGAAATACTTTTACATATTTTTACATAGTAGAATGGAATAGAAAAACTTTTTTAATCCCATAGGGAAATTGAGGTAGTCTGTAGCTCACACATTATTTCGCATCCACATAGCATTAAGATCATACAGCTGGAGACATCCTTAAAAGGTACAAGAAACACAATAAATAAAACAATAAAACATCACCACCGAAATAGGTCCAGTAAAGTGCTTAAATATGTTAAAATACTAGTTAAAATACACTGCTCAAAAAATAAAGGGGACACCTAAAAATGAACAATGTAACTCCCAATCAGTCACACCTTTGTGGAATCAATGTCACAAGGACTTAGGTAGTACATTGATATTTTTTGTTTTTCCTTCTCAATCAATTTTACCGTGTAAATAAAAATGTTTTTATAGTATTTAATTAAGATCTAGGATGTTATATTTATGTTTCCTTTCATTTGTATGCAGTGTATTTCAAAAGGTTTTTTGACGTCTTAATGAGTTTTACTCTTTCGCAAATAAAAATCACAAAATTATACATATTTGTCTGGACTTCGCTCAGATATTGCTTTTTCTAATTATATTTTGAAAAGCATAGTGAACACAATTAATTGTATTCCTATATTTATACATAAAGGTCTTTTGAGTCTCTTACAAGTAAGACTTTTTTTCTGATTTTAGGTTCTTGTGTATGATTGCTTCATGTCAAAGTTCAGCTTATAAATATAAATTTGGTCTAAGCAATGACAACACTGAGAGATTCCCTATGACTCTATGGAACATTGCATTAATTTATTTCTCTGTACTACTTTGGGTACTGTGTTAATTCTTTGACAAGTAAGCAGTGCATTATTCATTTGGGAGGCAGTTAGAATCAATAACTTATTTATTTAAGTCAGTCATCTTAAAAAAAAAAACACGAAAACATCCTTGACAGCAATATGTCTGTTTTCCAAAAAGTCCATTAAGACAAGAAAACTAATTTGATCATTTTGATAAAATATTCATGCAATATTAGTACCATACAATTTCTTTTAAATAGGAACAAATCATCTCATAATGTGAATAAATAACAGGGAAAAGATAGAGCTTTGACAATAATGAGTTAAACTGTCTCAGAAGTAGTGCACTGTTCCAAGAGAAAGGCCTATATGACGTTTAATGATTTACAGATCGGCTCAGTTTCCTCCGCAGAGCCTTGCGGAGGAACCTCTCAGTTCTTCACAGTGATGTTAGGAGCATAAGTGAATAAAGTGGACATGTTAGGATAGTCCCAAAAACAAATATGTCATGCAGTATATTTGTATCAAGACTAAACACAGATTCATGATATCTTTTCTTTCCTGAACGTCACATCTGGGCCTGAAGGTAGTTCAGCTACAGCTCATGTTTTCACTTCAGGAAACTCATATTTTTCTTTAGTGGTTTGATTATATTTTTATAAATGCTCTAAAAGCATTACTATTGATAATTAACTCAATCTCTTCCAAGCCAGTTTCTGGCTGCAAAATAGAATATAGTTGTTTTTCTGCAAAAAAACAAAACAAAAAAAACTTAACAAATTTATACATGCATGCAGTTTGAGCGGTGAATAAAGGAAGTATATTTTTGGATCTCTGGTGAAACACCAGACATTTAGATTATATCTAGCTCATTTAACATAATATCAAAGCACAGAACCTGGTTTACCCACATCTTTTTTTTTTTCTTTTCATTTTTTATCTCTACGCTCTGTTTATAAACATAGAAAGAACAAGACGATTGAAAACTATGGAAAATGGATCTGTGAAGGAGCAGGGGCCAAAAATGGGAACGTCTACCAGACTGTCAACATGAGAGCGCTGTTCAAATACGAAAGAGATATCAAATCTGCTGGTGTTACATTTGGTTTTAATATTATTTTATCACCAACAAGTGGAAAGACGTACAATAAAAATAAAAATATATAAGACAGATTTTTTTCCCTTCAACAAAATAACGTTTAAACTTTAAACTTTAAACTTTATATATATATATATATATGTATATAGCACATTTACGCATAACAATTCCAAGAACTTATAATGCATTAAAAAACACTTATAGATAATTAACTGCTTTCCACAGGATTTCTCCAAAAATTTTGTTGGCCTGCCTGTGTTGTTGTACTGGCTCCCAAACCTTTCAGCTTCTCACCTACAAAATGACAAAGTTGTTCCACCTGGCATCAACTGATTCACTGTTGAATCATTTGAACAAGATTATAATTGCAATCCACACTGCTTCATCTTATCTGTTGTATTTGGGGGTTTTGTTGTTTTTTTTGTTTTTTTCCCCAAATGGTAAAAATGCATTTATCATGATACCTTTTGTCTTTTGTCAAGACCTCAGTCAGAGTTCTGACCCCAATTTTGGAAAAACCTATTCCAGAATATTATTACTTTAGAAACTTTTTGTCCTTATTGTTGCATAAACATATCTGATTTGGGAGTGCATCCAGAAAGTATTTAAAGTGTTTGCTTTTTTCATATTTTCTATTGTTAGACTATATTCCAAGTTGTAGTAAATTAATCTCTTTTCTCAAAATTCTATTCATAAGTTTCCACAATGTGGAAAGTGGTATCTGAGTTGTTGCAAATTAATTAAAAATAGAAAAGCAAAAAGTCACATTTGTAGTAGTATTCACAACCTTTGCTTAATACTTTGTTGATCCACATTTAAGAGCAATTACAATTTGAAGTGTTCTTTACAGTTTATCAGGTGAATGGAAGGTGTTTGTGCCGCCATTTTCAAATCCTTCCACAGACTTAGACTTACTTAGACTTACTTAGACTTACTTTATTGGTCTGAGGGCCAGTGGGAGACAGCTATTTGTCAGTCTGGCTGCTCTGTAGCGGATGCTGCGGAATCTCCTGGCAGATGCCGACCAGATGATCAGACCATGGAGGGGAGAGATGGAGTCAGAGAGGATCTGAATTGCTCTGGCTAAGCAGCGTCTGTGTATACAATCCATTTTATACCATCCATTTATACCATCCATCCATCCATCCATCCATCCATCCATCCATCCATCCATCCATCCATCCATCCATCCATCCATCCATCCATCCATCCATCCATCCATCCATCCATCCATCCATCCATCCATCCATCCATCCATTTTCTTCCGTTTATTTGTCCTGGGTCTTCCCCGGGGCCTCCTCCCAGTGTGATGTGCCCAGAACACATCACCAGGGAGGCATCCAGGAGGCATCCTGACCAGCTGCCCGAGCCATCTCAACTGGCTCCTCTCGATGCGGAGGAGCAGTGCCTCTACTTTGAGTCCCTCTCGAATCACCAAGCTTCTCACCCTATCTCTAAGGTAGAGCCCAGCCACCCAGAAAACCCATTTCGACCACTTGTATCCGCGATCTCGTTCTTTCGGTCATGTTTTCACTTCAGGAAACTCATATTTTTCTTTAGTGGTTTGATGATGACCATAGATGAGGGTGGGAATGTAGATTGACTGGTAAATTGAGACCTTCACTTTCTGCCTCAGCTCTCTCTTCACCACGACGGACCGATATAGCACCTGCTTCACGGCAGACACTGCTCCAATCCACCTGTCGACCTCCCGCTCCCCTCTTCGTTCATTCGTGAACAAGATGCCGAGATATATGAACTCCTCCACTTTAGGCAGGACTTCCTCCCCACCCGGAAAAGGCACTCTACCCTTTTCCAGCTCAAGACTATGTCCTCGGACTTGGAGGCACTGATCCCCATCCCAGCCACTTCATACTTGGTTGCGAACCGCTCCAGCGAGAGCTGCAGATCACATCCCAATGGAGCCAACAGAACCACATCATCCGCAAAAAGCAGAGATGCAATCCTGAGCCCACCAAAACGAATCCCCTCAACATCTTGACTGCGCCTAGAAATTCTGTCTAATGAACAGAATCGGTGACAAAGGGCAGCCCTGGTGGAGTCCAACTTACTGCTGGCAATGCAGACCAGACTCCGACACCGGTCATACAGGGACCTGACAGCCCATATCAAAGGTACCTCATACTCCCGAAGAACCCCCCACAAGGCTCCCCGAGGGACATGGTCAAACACCTTCTCCAAGTCCACAAAGCACATGTAGACTGGTTGGGCGAACTCCCATGCACCCTCCAGGACCCTGCTGAGAGCATATAGCTGGTCCAGTGTTCCACCACCAGGACGAAAACCACACTGCTCTTCTTGAGTCTGAGGTTCAACTATCCGACGGACCCTCCTCTCCAGGACCCCTGAATAGACCTTGCCAGGGAGGCTTAAGAGTGTGACCCGTCTGTGTGCAATGGTATAGAAAGGGGGGAGTGGAGACCCAATGATCCTTTCTGCGGTCTTCATCACTCTTCACAAGGACTTCCAGCCTGAGGCTTTGCAGCTCCCAGACCAGATGGAGATACTGCTGGTCAGCAGGCTCTCAATGGTTCCTCTGTACAAGGTGGAGAAGATGGGAGGTGGGAGCGAAGCCCTTCTCATTCAACTTAGAAAGTGCAGGCGCTGCTGTGCCTTTTATACCTGTGAAGTGATATAAGGTATCCAGCTGAGGTTGTTTGTAATGTGAACCTCCAGGAACTTAGTGCTGCTGACAATCTCTTTGTTATTAATGAGGAGTGGTGTGTGGTTCGATCGAGACCTTCTGAAGTCGACAATGGTTTCTTTTGTCTTGTCGACGTTCAGGAGCAGGTTGTTTATTCTGCACCAGTCCACAAAATGTTGTACCTCTTTTCTATAGTTCACTTAATTGTTGTCCTGAATTAATCCCACATAGGTTTATAATAAGACTCGAAACCATAAATAAGAAAAAAAAGACAGATATGGAAACATATACTACAATATCTTTATTAAACAATAATTAAGTCAAATGAGTAAAATGGCATGTGTCTATAAACACTGCTTGTGTCATTTATCCATTGACACAGGATATAGTGTTAGGATCTGGAGTTGTTTGAGTTTGGTTTGGGTTTTCTCAAATTTTTGATCCTCAGTTTTTTTTTTACTTCTGCATCTTTTCCATTTCCACTTCAGTTCTTCCTTACTGAGTTGAGTTTATGTCGTTTTTCTGGTTATTCTTTGTCTCTTTTGTTTATTTAGTCACCTGCATATAATATGTTTCCCCCTGTGCCATGTCTCTCTCCTTTTCCTCAGACTGCCTCATGCTCATTTCACATACACCAGCAACCCGTAAGAATACAGCCCAGTACCTTTGTTCCAGTATTAAACCTCTCAGTATTTAAGTACTTTGTTGTCAGTCACGATTTACTGGTTTGTCTTGTTATCAACACAAAGTCCCAGGCCTGGTGCTTTTGGGTTCACTCAACAATACACATTGTGACATATAGAGAAACAGGGACAAACATTAAAGAGCATTCATTTAGTCTTCTTGGCATTTTGAAAAAAGAGCTATATAAACATACCAAAACATTTTAGACAATTTCATTCTTGAAACTTTGAGGGAACAGTTTGGAGCTAGTCCCTTTCTCTTTCAACTTGAATGTGCAGAAACAGTTTGCTGATGTTCACAAGGTTTACATCAGCAAACCATTGACCAACACAACACCAGGCATGTTGTCTGCCATCTGCCCTGACCAAGGAGAACTGGGATTTACCCTTGAACACTATCAAATATGAGCATTTTCCCACTCAAGTCAGTTACAGAAACAAACTATGGTCAATTTGAGAGCTTACAGTTCCTGGCAGTTATTGCAGCTGTCCAGGTTCTTGATGTCAGACAATCTTGGAGGTGAACATGTTGGATGTGGATGTCCTGGGCTGGTGTGGATACATGTGGTCTGCAACTGTGTGGCCTGTTGGATGTACTACCAAATTCTCCGAAATGCCTTTGGAGTTGAATATGTGAACTTGTGGTAGAGGAATGAATATTAAATTCACAACCAAAAGGTCTGATTGACATTCCTGCAAGTCGGTTTGCCAATTGCAACATCTGAGGCATTTCATCTCTCAGTTCACCATATAAAGAATAGGGGGACTTACAACACCATAGGCTTCACTGAAAAAACACTAAAAATCAACTCAATTTTTCATGCCTGGAACATTTGACTCCACTCAAAAATATACATCATTACAGATAGGAAAACAGGAACAGACACTAAAGCTCATAAATTTAATCTTCTTTGCGTACTCCAAGAAGTATTATATAAGATGTATTGTTATTATGCAACAAATTTATTCATGGGAAAAGAATATAAACTTTAGAAAATAAACTTAACAATTTGAATTAAAAATATTTCTTCAGCTGGAAGATTAGGAGCGAGGGATCAGCTTCAGATGGATGGGTCTTTTGGGTGCTAGCAAACCCTGGACATCCATCTCAAATGGGATCTGGTAGGAAATTCAATGTGCAGAGAGAAAACTGTGTGAACTGAATAAACAATGCAAAGAACAGCGTGGCCATTTAATTCAAACATTGTAAAAACAAAAAAAAAAGAAAAGAAAAAGCTACACTTGTCTAGAGAAATTTTGTAGAACAAGAGACAATGAAAATAACATCTGTATTAATTACTGTGCAAAGCTCAGAGTCTTCAAACTTTGGATGGACAAAAATAAGTGTCATATTGTTATGTAACCCTAAAAACCTACCCGTAAGCTTCCTCACACAGCCTGAAAGAGGAGCAATATGCAGGGTTAATCTGTAATCTCACCTCAGTCTCTTTACACACAGAGAAGCTGTACTGCTGCAGGATCTCCACCACTGCCAGTTTCATCATCACGAGAGCAAACCTCATCCCAATACAGTTCCTTGGCCCTAACCCAAAAGGCATGTATGTGTATGGATCGATGTCCTCCTTGTTTTTCTTGCTGAATCTGATGTGAAAAATACAATATACACATAAATATGTAACCAAAAGTAGCCTACTCATACTAACAGCAGACCTCTGCAGATGGTATGCAGCAATGTGCATTTTTCTCTCGTATTTACCTCTCAGGTTTGAATTTCTCTGGTTCTGGCCATATCTCAGGGTCCCGGTGAAGAGGCCATGTGGGCACCAGGACAACCATGTCTTTTGGAATCACAAGGCCATTTATCTCCACAGATGCTTTGGCCACACGCTCCAAACGTGCGGCAATGGGGAACAACCGGAGAGACTCATTGATGACGCTGTCCAAGTAGTCCATCTCCATCAGAGGCTGATACTGAACAGGAGCCTACACAAACACAAGCATGGCTGTCATACTGCAGTTCTACAGGCAAGGCTGAATAGGTTAGGATATTATTCAAAAGTCAAGTCATACCAAGCTGGTGTACTAAACAAATCTATTTAAAAATGAGCAACTTTTAGTTTTAAATCAGCATTCTTTAGGTGCCTCATCAGGTATTTATACAAGTTGAATACCTGGGGTTTTAAGACCTAAATGTTATACATATTCTATATTTTGGTACCTTGATGGGGAAGGTGGAATCAATCTCCTCTTGGAGCTTTCTCATGACCTCTGGGTTGGTAGCCAGATTGTAAGCCAAGAAAGAGAGAGAACTGCTGCTTGTTTCATAACCAGCAAAAATGAAAATCATGGATTGGGAAAGGATCTCATGGTCACTTAATCCTGTAGAAAATACAACATGCTTCACAATAGTAAGATGTGTAGTGTGTGATACTATGAGTGTTTGAAATATGTCTCACTTTTGTCCTTTTGCAACTCATTGTTCTTTTGGGAATCAATCATTAGTTGGAGAAAATCTACTCGACTCTGCAAGTAAATAAGGGCCATTTGTAAGCCTACTGGTACAAAGAGACTAAAATGCAGAAACAAAAAACATTGTATCTGACTGTACCTTCTGCTGGTTGGCCTCACGGTTGGATTTAATCTTCTCCAGAGAAGTATAAAAGAAGTCGGTCACAGATTTGGGGAAAAAAGAAAGTTCTAACTTTTCAAGTATGGGACCGAGGAAGGGGAAGAAAGCTGAAATTAAAGTAACAACAATTATAATACTTCTGGACAAGGAAGATCAGGAACTATTTTCTCTGTTACAACATTACCCGATTGAGATTTAACAAACTTGTATTCTTTATAAAAGCATAATGCTGAAAGAGTAAAAAATGCCCTTGTTCACTAAAGGTACAGTTCTTTATTGATATGAATAATTAAACCATGAGCTTGTAAGCCAGAATAAAACATCCAGTTTCTATGTCTTCTAAGGATTGCGGAATGAATTGGACTGTTATTGGAGGACATATCATTAACCTTGTTTGTTCTTTCTTTATACTTTACCACAGCGAGGAAGAGGGGGTTTAAAAAGTCAAAACTTCAGCATCTTCTTGATGTTTGTCACAAATGGGTCTGAAGGGTTGTTCAGTGAATCAATGTCTACACTGAAGGCTGTACTGGTTACGACGTCCATGCTATATGATCCAAAGAATCTGTAATCAAACACAAAATATGTTTAAAATACCTTGGCATTGATAGAGGTGAATTTAAGCATCTTCTGGAACAATTTTATTAAAAGTCCTACTCCTTCAGTTCTAATGCTTCTCCCTTGTCTGCCTTTTTCTTCATGCTGCGGATCAGGTTAGCAGAATGACTCTTCATGATTTCAAACATCTAATACACACATTGAGACAAAAAAATTATTACCACACACACAAATAATAATGGAAAATGTTTTGGTATGAAATTTAAGTTAAAATATAGTTGACTAAATCCTTATAACTTGAGCATGTATGGTTGCTCCAAAGTTATATCAAGATGCAATTTGCTGTTGCCAATTCAGGAATTTTTTCAAAGTCAGAGACTCATAACCGTCTGTTGGACTTCCTTTGAAAACTTTCAGTTATTTGGCATAAAAAATAAAACTCGATTACAACGTTTCATCACTGCAATGTATGTGATTGAATTTAAATATGTTATTTGGGCTTGTTTTGCATTGACTGTAAATATATTTGTATTTAAAAGACTCTGCTTTCGAAGCTGCCTGGCAGACAACATTTGCTGTGGCTCAGCACTACACCGATAAACTGAAATCTGAGCAAATCACCCAGAATCCCGAGTCCTCTCTCATGGTTTACTTTCTCCATTTGTTCTATGAGTTTTTCTGTCTAGGATATGAAATTGTTTTGAAAGAAAAAGATTGAAAATAGCTCTGAAAAGAGTTGATTAGATTATCATTTTGAATTTTCTGGTACTGCAAAGTGTTCTTGATGTTATGACCACCAGCTAGATTTACAGAATCCACTCAAAATAAATCAGTCCACAGCACCACATCTCCCCGCCATGCTTAAGGGTGGAAATAAACTGCTTTTTTCCATACCTACCCTTAACTATAAACTTGTACTTTATTTTATTTTATTTCAAAGTCACCTGGAGTTTCTGTTGCCAGATAACTCGGTCTCCCCGTATCCCAGCACGCAGTTAAAGTTCGAGGCCCAGTTGTGAATGCCAAAATCCACACCTCTTCATTTGCTTTTTTTCTCCTGGTGTCCCTCCCAAAAATAGCAAATAGTCAGTCATTCTTTGCTAAAATTCTCGAGATATTTTCTTTCTTCCTCACTATTTGTGGGCAAACCCAGGTTTTCATTCAGCCTTAAACCTTTCAATTTTACTCTGACTGCAGGCAGGAGGTGTTTTATTTTCTGAATATTTTCTTATTGTCATTTCCTGACAACCAGAAAATAAGTCAGCCTGTATTGCATGACACACTGACTTTTTTTGGTGTTTCATGCAATACAAATACACAAGAAATTTTTTTTATTACTAATTAGACATTCTGCTTACTAAATAAATCTGGTATATGAATACAATATTTAAAATTTAGTCTGTAGAATTTATCAAAATTGTATAGTAATGGCATCTTTCTTTGGGTTTCTCCACAGAATAAATGCATTTGACTTTTTTTTTGTATCTTTAGGATGTGAACATGCTGTTTGTAACAAAAGGTGAACTCATTTCAATGCTTTTTATTCATTATTATTTCAGTGGCAACATATTTGGAGGAAGCAGTTTTTTTTAGGTCAAATTGCTGTAAAAGTTAAAAGATATTGAGAAGCTCACCTCTTTCAGTTTTCCAGAGGTGAAGGAAGGAGATAGGACACTGCGGATCCTTTTCCATTGGTCATCTTCAGCATTGAACAGGGAATCATACAGGGCCCCATTCAGATGAAAATTCTTTTGACGTAATGAAACAGCAGCTGATGAGAACTAAATGAAATGTAAATCACTATGACTTCATATGGATTGTAGAGCAGTAACTACATACTCTGCGGTTGGTGAAGAAAGAGTAGCATTCCTTAACCAGAATGGCCTTTATGATTTCAGGATCTGCGACACACAACACGGGCTGGCGGCCATCGTAAATACTGAAAGATTAGAATGAAACAAACAACTTAGGCTGAAAGAAATTATTGTTTTTTTTTTGTATCTGTTCTTCAATAACAGTTACAATGTGAAAACTCACCCCCATATTTTCCCGTATTTCCGATAGCACTCTTGATCAAAATTGAAGAACCCCTAGTTACAAAAATAATGTTAAATCAGAAATATAAGAGAATATGTTTTTTTTACAATTTTCAGCTAAATGAATTAATAAATAATGGATCATCTTAAAGAATGTTGTTCATAGAAGCTAAATTACATTATTCTGATTCAATATATTTAAAAAAAATACATTTTATAAATTATATTTAAATTGAACTGCATATCTGGCTGTGGTTCAATTTAAATCAATTTAAATCCGCAACATTTCTCCACACTGGAATATAGCAGAGTTAGTTGGACCTGTTCCCATTTGGGACTAAATCTTCAGATTGTCATTGAAATATTATTGTAACACAAATAAGCTAATGATAATCCAATAAAAATAAATTGAAATATTCTTGTAACATAAATAAGCTAATGATAATCCAATAAAAATAATTCAAAGGTAACAATTTTATTGAAAACCAAGTTCATGTTAGAACGTGTGACCATTTAAACTATCAAAACCCCGAGTTTATGAGGAAATTATTTCAAGTTACACTTTCATTTTAAGTTATTCCTGCCAATATTTTTTTCCTAAGCTTTCATTAGCAAACTAAATAAGAACAACTCAATAGAACATTACCCAGACAATATGAAAATATTTGTTTAAAATAACTATATTTCTTGTATGATCTGAAAGCTCCCAGTAGGAATCATGTTCTGTGGTACATTTTGGTACCATCAGTCTCTGACTGAAGGTGCTCCTGCAGCCAGCCAACAAGAAGTGGATGAGACTTGTGCAAGATGACCTGTATCTTGGACAGGGTCCTTCTCTCTGACACCACGGTCAGAAAGTCCAACTTCACGCCCGCAACATCACTAGCCTTGCCGATCAATCTGTTCAGTCTTTTGGCGTCCTCCTGCTGCCTGCTGGCTCACCACACCACAACATTCAGGATGATACTGGCAACCACAGACTCATAAACGATCCTGAGGAAAGTCTGGCAGATGAAGAAAAATCTCAACTTTCACATGGATGAAGATGCCTCTGCTCAGAAAATACTGGCAACTTTGGCCCTTCTTGTATATAGCATTGGTGTTCTTGATCCAGTCCAGTTTATTGTCAACTTGGAATCCAAAATATTTATAATTCTCCACAGTGTCCACACTAACCCCGGGATGGAAACTAGGGTCACAGACTTCCTGGAATTCCTCCTCAGTTCCACCACCAGTTCCGTGGTCTTTATCATATTGAGCTGCAGGTGGTTCAGCCCACACAAAGTTGCCCTCTGTACTCATTATTCTCACTAACACAATCTCCAGCTGAGTCATCTGAGAACTTCTGTAAATGACAGCTACAGAAGTACAATAGCTAAAGTCAGTTGCATAGAGAATAAAGGACCCTTATGCTGCTGACAACAGTGTTGCAGGTGTACAAACTGTGGTCTGCCAGTCCACAGGTCATAGACCTGTGGACTGGCTGTCCACATCTAGACTGCCTGGACTGGACAATCTAGAACTGGCAGAAATGTGGACTATCTAGATCATCAGATAGTCCACAGTCTGATGTGGGTGTTTAGCACCACCCACAGCTCCTGTAGTCACAGGGACGCTGTGTCTTTGCCACTAGATTAATGCAGTATGTTTTCCACATCCACAGAGCTAGATAGAACAGGCTTTAAGCACCCTAGCAGGGCTTGCAGTTTTGCCAGGGTGGAGTCTCACCAGCTGGTGAGACTCTATGGTGTTGTTTACTGCAGAGGTGACCAGTTGAGGGGTGAAGGGTGGGGGAGTAGTGTAGGGGGGAAAGAGGTGTTAAAGTGAGATGGAAGACTTTGTGGAGGGGTACGTGAGAGTGAGTTGAGAGCAGCAGTGGTATTGCTGGGAGTGCAGGGGCCGCAGTGTCAAATCTGTTTAAACAACTATTTAGTTCATTGGCTCTTTCAATGTTGAACTCAACCCCACTACTGCCAGCTGACCTAAACATGATAAAGAGGCCAACAATAAAATATAATAAAACCATTTAAAATAACTAAACTCTTGGAATTCACACTGGAACATTAGAATCCTGTATGCAGAACAATAAAATAAACTTAAAGTTGTGATTACTGAATTAATTCCTTTTTCTAAATTTGTCTTTTCACTTAGGTAGACATGTTTTTATTAAATGCATTTTATTCAATGTCAATTATTAAAACTGTCATTCAGTTGACAGTAGTCATAGAATCTGTTGTGTAAAAAACTCTTGGATAAATACATAAAATACAAATTAAAATCAAATTTAAGAAATATTTGTGAGAGTAAAATATGTTGCTGCTCTGTGACCATACCATGCTAAAAAAGTGATTTAAAAAATAATTCTCTCATTCTACCCTTTTCAATATGTGCTTGTAGTCAAGATTCATCATTGGATTTGGTGGAATAGATGATTTCCTGAAAATCTGAACCAGAACCAGACCACTGTTACACAGATCACCTAACAGGATTTGCTTCATTTTAGTTTGGCTTTGACACTAAAATATGTTATAATACTTTAACACTGAATTTTGAGTCAAAGAGGAAGTTATGGGGAAATGTGATCATCATAATTTGTAGTTTGTTTTTACATTAGGTCAGGTTACAGTACAATACAATCAAGAAACTCATCTCTAAGTTGCAAAGAGAAAATAGAAACAAATTAGCTTTCGTCTTAATAAATAGCATTAGTGTGGTTTTAAACATACAGGATTACAGGACATCTAAATACAGCAGAAACGTTTTATTAGGATTGTTAGGATAAACTTGGATTACATCAAGCAGACTAACAATGTCTGATTTTTAAAGTGTTTGTTTTTTCTTTATGAGGACAGGACATGTAGGTTGAACAGTTTTCAACTTGTATTATTTAGCCAAATGAGGGAAATGACTGTCCTTTATTATCCATAAAAAGTAATTGGACGATGATTGTAGAACAGGTACATACTCTCATTACTTCCAATACAAATTCAGCATTGTACACAAGCATGAAACAGTAATGAGCAATAAAGACATGTAGTTGAGAATGTTTAGAGGTTCACATAGAGTAGAAATCTTATACATTTAAATCAAGATTTATCTTTTTAGATTTTCAAAAAGTAAAAAATACAAAGGCTGCAAGGACTTCTAAAGAAGATCCATATCTTTGATTAAAATATTAACATGGCCTACTTTTTATACTATAAGTGCAGTTTAAAAAGTGATATACATACCCTTCGATAATGCAGCATTGTCCCAAAAAATGGGACAGGTTTAGGACCAGAAACACCTAATTTCTTGAAAGTTCCATAAGGCCAGTAGGCATACCTGTGGATAAATAAGTCTGAAAAGTTATGTGTGAAGTAAAGACAAAAGCAGTAAATGCTGAGCAGAAGAGAATAGAACAAATGGCAGATTCAGATTCAAGTAATTGGAAGAAATAAATAAATCAATACTCATTCATTAACACTCACACAAGGAGGAGTGTGACAAAGGCAACCAGCAAAGTCCATGTCTCAGTGGAGAAGTACAAGAAGTAACCCATCTGTCCTCCCAGTGGAAGTATCTGTCTCTGTGATACCAAATGTCACCACCTGTACCTTTTATCTTCTGCTGTACTGATCTGTTGCGCAAGGTGAAGTGTGTGAAAGTTAAACCAATGGTAGCGAGGTTGGTAGGTTTGCATCCTTTTAGAATGTTTCAAGCTGGCATTCACTGAGAGCGTCTGTAGTCAGGACTCTGTCTATAATAATCTATCCATCCATTTTCTGTACACCGTTATGCCTGGTGGGGTCGGCAGGGGTGCTGGTGTCTATCTCCGGTGAACGTTTTGGTCGAGCTGATATTACTAATCTCCTCTCATGAATTATTACTGCTTATTTGGAGGATACCTACTTTAAAGTTACATTACAATACATGTTTTTATTTATATTAGATTCATTCATGTATATTCACCTACAGTTTTTCTGTCTGTCTGTCTGTCTGTCTATCTTTGTTGTGTTTTTTTTTAAATCTAAATTATGAGCTCCACTTTCAACAGTTTTACTGCGTATATGCTGGAGAAAAGCAGAAAATCTGTTTTCAATGCCATTTTTCTGTTTGTTTTTTAGATTTCTAGTTTTCTACTGTCCTCGTTCAGACATGCCCAGTCATGGCATGGCATATTGGATTTATGATTAGCAGAAACTGCTTTTACTGTTTTTCCTGTAGAGCCAAATGAGGCCAAAGGGTAACCAGTTACGTAACTCTTAATACAGGGAATAGACAATTGGTGCCCACAGTCGGATTCAAAGTACAAAAAAAAAAAAAAAAAAAAAAAAAAAAACTGAGCTCAATAGACTTTGAATATGCAACATCAGTCATGGACCTTTTGTTTTTTCTCATCTGAAATATGGTTTCTGCTGATTTCATTTATATTTATTTTGTAAGTATTTGTGTGATCAAATAAGTTGTGCTCACTCTGAATAGGAATACTTTACAAAATAAATGCATCAAAATGTTATTGCCATAGAAATAAGTTACACTTGGTGTAATGCATCCAGTCCAGGTATGGCCACAGCATGGCATGTTGAAGAAGTTGGGGATGTCATTAATCTAACTTGATGTAACCTCAAATTTATACAAAAAACACAGATTTGATAACATATTCCAAACACTCTTTATTAAACAATGAGAAAGCTGCATGAGTCACTCACAAGATTTGAGGGTAGGCATATTCAAACAGAAATCCTCAACTGAGGGATAAATGACATTTTTAAACTAAACTGTACATATACTATATTGCCAAAAGTACAATATTTGCTCACTAATCCAAATCATAGGAATTGGGTGTTCCAATCGCTTCCAGGGCCACAGGTGTATAAAATTAAACACCTAGGCATGCAGACTGTTTTTATATTTGTGAAAGAACGGGTCGCTCTTAGAAGCTCAGTGAAATCCAGTGAATTTCAGGAGCTGGGCTTACCCCCTTAGTTCCAGTGAAAGAAACTCTGAATGGTTCAGCAGACCAAGACATTTTAGACAATTTCATTCTTGAAACTTTGAGGGAACAGTTTGGAGCTAGTCCCTTTCTCTTTCAACTTGAATGTGCAGAAACAGTTTGCTGATGTTCACAAGGTTTACATCAGCAAACCATTGACCAACACAACACCAGGCATGTTGTCTGCCATCTGCCCTGACCAAAGAGAACTGGGATTTACCCTTGAACACTATCAAATATGAGCATTTTCCCACTCAAGTCAGTTACAGAAACAAACTATGGTCAATTTGAGAGCTTACAGTTCCTGGCAGTTATTGCAGCTGTCCAGGTTCTTGATGTCAGACAATCTTGGAGGTGAACATGTTGGATGTGGATGTCCTGGGCTGGTGTAGATACATGTGGTCTGCAACTGTGTGGCCTGTTGGATGTACTACCAAATTCTCTGAAATGCCTTTGGAGTGGAATATGTGAACTTGTGGTAGAGGAATGAATATTAAATTCACAACCAACAGCTCTGATTGACATTCCTGCAAGTCAGTTTGCCAATTGCAACATCTAAGGCATTTTGCTGTATGATAAAACAGCAAAATGCAGTGGTATTTTACTGTGATCAGTCTAAATTACACAAGTGTTATTTGCAACACAGTTTAAAAATATTTCATCTCCCAGTTCACCATATAAAGAAAAAGGGGACTTAAACACCATAGGCTTCACTGAAAAAACACTAAAAATCAACTCAATTTTTCATGCCTGGAACATTTGACTCCACTCAAAAATATACATCATTACAGATAGGAAAACAGGAACAGACACTAAAGCTCATAAATTTAATCTTCTTTGCGTACTCCAAGAAGTATTATATAAGATGTATTGTTATTATGCAACAAATTTATTCATGGGAAAAGAATATAAACTTTAGAAAATAAACTTAACAATTTGAATTAAAAATATTTCTTCAGCTGGAAGATTAGGAGCGAGGGATCAGCTTCAGATGGATGGGTCTTTTGGGTGCTAGCAAACCCTGGACATCCATCTCAAATGGGATCTGGTAGGAAATTCAATGTGCAGAGAGAAAACTGTGTGAACTGAATAAACAATGCAAAGAACAGCGTGGCCATTTAATTCAAACATTGTAAAAACAAAAAAAAAAGAAAAGAAAAAGCTACACTTGTCTAGAGAAATTTTGTAGGACAAGAGACAATGAAAATAACATCTGTATTAATTACTGTGCAAAGCTCAGAGTCTTCAAACTTTGGATGGACAAAAATAAGTGTCATATTGTTATGTAACCCTAAAAACCTACCCGTAAGCTTCCTCACACAGCCTGAAAGAGGAGCAATATGCAGGGTTAATCTGTAATCTCACCTCAGTCTCTTTACACACAGAGAAGCTGTACTGCTGCAGGATCTCCACCACTGCCAGTTTCATCATCACGAGAGCAAACCTCATCCCAATACAGTTCCTTGGCCCTAACCCAAAAGGCATGTATGTGTATGGATCGATGTCCTCCTTTTTTCTTGCTGAATCTGATGTGAAAAATACAATATACACATAAATATGTAACCAAAAGTAGCCTACTCATACTAACAGCAGACCTCTGCAGATGGTATGCAGCAATGTGCATTTTTCTCTCGTATTTACCTCTCAGGTTTGAATTTCTCTGGTTCTGGCCATATCTCAGGGTCCCGGTGAAGAGGCCATGTGGGCACCAGGACAACCATGTCTTTTGGAATCACAAGGCCATTTATCTCCACAGATGCTTTGGCCACACGCTCCAAACGTGCGGCAATGGGGAACAACCGGAGAGACTCATTGATGACGCTGTCCAAGTAGTCCATCTCCATCAGAGGCTGATACTGAACAGGAGCCTACACAAACACAAGCATGGCTGTCATACTGCAGTTCTACAGGCAAGGCTGAATAGGTTAGGATATTATTCAAAAGTCAAGTCATACCAAGCTGGTGTACTAAACAAATCTATTTAAAAATGAGCAACTTTTAGTTTTAAATCAGCATTCTTTAGGTGCCTCATCAGGTATTTATACAAGTTGAATACCTGGGTTTTAAGACCTAAATGTTATACATATTCTATATTTTGGTACCTTGATGGGGAAGGTGGAATCAATCTCCTCTTGGAGCTTTCTCATGACCTCTGGGTTGGTAGCCAGATTGTAAGCCAAGAAAGAGAGAGAACTGCTGCTTGTTTCATAACCAGCAAAAATGAAAATCATGGATTGGGAAAGGATCTCATGGTCACTTAATCCTGTAGAAAATACAACATGCTTCACAATAGTAAGATGTGTAGTGTGTGTGATACTATGAGTGTTTGAAATATGTCTCACTTTTGTCCTTTTGCAACCCATTGTTCTTTTGGGAATCAATCATTAGTTGGAGAAAATCTACTCGACTCTGCAAGTAAATAAGGGCCATTTGTAAGCCTACTGGTACAAAGAGACTAAAATGCAGAAACAAAAAACATTGTATCTGACTGTACCTTCTGCTGGTTGGCCTCACGGTTGGATTTAATCTTCTCCAGAGAAGTATAAAAGAAGTCGGTCACAGATTTGGGGAAAAAAGAAAGTTCTAACTTTTCAAGTATGGGACCGAGGAAGGGGAAGAAAGCTGAAATTAAAGTAACAACAATTATAATACTTCTGGACAAGGAAGATCAGGAACTATTTTCTCTGTTACAACATTACCCGATTGAGATTTAACAAACTTGTATTCTTTATAAAAGCATAATGCTGAAAGAGTAAAAAATGCCCTTGTTCACTAAAGGTACAGTTTCTTTATTGATATGAATAATTAAACCATGAGCTTGTAAGCCAGAATAAAACATCCAGTTTCTATGTCTTCTAAGGATTGCGGAATGAATTGGACTGTTATTGGAGGACATATCATTAACCTTGTTTTTGTTCTTTCTTTATACTTTACCAACAGCGAGGAAGAGGGGGTTTAAAAAGTCAAACTTCAGCATCTTCTTGATGTTTGTCACAAATGGGTCTGAAGGGTTGTTCAGTGAATCAATGTCTACACTGAAGGCTGTACTGGTTACGACGTCCATGCTATATGATCCAAAGAATCTGTAATCAAACACAAAATATGTTTAAAATACCTTGGCATTGATAGAGGTGAATTTAAGCATCTTCTGGAACAATTTTATTAAAAGTCCTACTCCTTCAGTTCTAATGCTTCTCCCTTGTCTGCCTTTTTCTTCATGCTGCGGATCAGGTTAGCAGAATGACTCTTCATGATTTCAAACATCTAATACACACATTGAGACAAAAAAATTATTACCACACACACAAATAATAATGGAAAATGTTTTGGTATGAAATTTAAGTTAAAATATAGTTGACTAAATCCTTATAACTTGAGCATGTATGGTTGCTCCAAAGTTATATCAAGATGCAATTTGCTGTTGCCAATTCAGGAATTTTTTCAAAGTCAGAGACTCATAACCGTCTGTTGGACTTCCTTTGAAAACTTTCAGTCATTTGGCATAAAAAATAAAACTCGATTACAACGTTTCATCACTGCAATGTATGTGATTGAATTTCAATTTGTTTATGAGCTTGGTTTGCATTGACTATAAATATATGTGTATTTAAAAAGACTCTGCTTTCGAAGCTGCCTGGCAGACAACATTTGCTGTGGCTCAGCACTACACCGATAAACTGAAATCTGAGCAAATCACCCAGAATCCCGAGTCCTCTCTCATGGTTTACTTTCTCCATTTGTTCTATGAGTTTTTCTGTCTAGGATATGAAATTGTTTTGAAAGAAAAAGATTGAAAATAGCTCTGAAAAGAGTTGATTAGATTATCATTTTGAATTTTCTGGTACTGCAAAGTGTTCTTGATGTTATGACCACCAGCTAGATTTACAGAATCCACTCAAAATAAATCAGTCCACAGCACCACATCTCCCCGCCATGCGTAAGGGCGGAAATAAACTGCTTTTTTCCATACCTACCCTTAACTATAAACTTGTTCTTTATTTTATTTCATTTCAAAGTCACCTGGAGTTTCTGTTGCCAGATAACTCGGTCTCCCCAGGAATTTCTTCAAAGTCAGAGACTCATAACAGTCTGTTGGGCTTCTTTTGAAAATTTTCAGTCATTTGGTATGAAAAATAAAACTCGATTATATCATTTTATAACCAGGATCAAACTGCAATGTATGTGATTGAATTTAAATATGTTATTTGGGCTTGTTTTGCATTGACTGTAAATATATTTGTATTTAAAAAGGCTCTGGTTTTGAAGCTGCCGAGAGACAACATTTGCTGTCACCCAGAATCCTGAGTCCTCTCTTATGGTTTACTTTCTCCAGTTGTTCTACTACTCCTGTCAAGGAAATGAGATTATTTTGAAAAACAAGTTATTTTTTTGTCTAATTTGTCATTTCCTGATATATTTAGATAAACGACTGACTTACTTCATTCAGTATGTCATGTAATACCAATACCAGAAAGAAAGGAGTACTGATTAAAAAGCTTCGATATTCTGCTTATTAAATAAATCTAAGATATCAAAACATTATTTAAAATTTAGTCTGTAGAATTTATCAGAATTGTATACTAATGGCATGTTTCTTTGTGTTTCTCCACAGAATAAATGCATTCGTCTTTTTTTGTGTCTTTAGGATGTGAACTTGCTATTTGTGACAAAAGGTGAACTCATTTCAATGCTTTTTCTTCATTTTTACTTCAGTCCCAATATTTTTGGAGGAAGCATTATGTTAAGGTCAAATTGCTGTAAAAGTTGATAGAAAGTGGAGAAGCTCACCTCCTTCAGTTTTCCAGAGGTGAAGGCAGGAGATAGGACACTGCGGATCCTTTTCCATTGGTCATCTTCAGCAATGGATACAGCATCATACAGGGGCCCATTCAGACGGAAATTCTAACATAATAAAACAGCAGCTAATGAGAACTAAATGAAATGTAAATCACTATGACTTCATGTGGATTGTAGAGCAGTAACTACATACTCTGCGATTGGTGAAGAAAGAGTAGCATTCCTTAACCAGAATGGCCTTTATGATTTCAGGATCTGCGACACACAACACGGGCTGGCGGCCATCGTAAATACTGAAAGATTAGAATGAAACAAACAACTTAAGCTGAAACAAATCACTGGTTTATTGTGTCTGTTCTTCAATAAAAGTTACAATGTGAAAACTCACCCCCATGTTTTCCCGTATTTCCTATAGCACTCTTGATCGAAATTGAAGAACCCCTAATAATGTTAAATCAGAAATATAAGAGAACATTTTTGTACAATTTTCAGCAAAATTATTTAATAAAGAATGTTGTTCATAGAAGCTTAATTACATTATTCTGATTCAATATACAATATTTAAATATATATATATATATTTTATAAATCAAGAGTTAAATTGAACTGCATATCTGGCTGTATTGGACATGTGTGAAGATGTGTAGTGGTGATGAAGGACCCAATTGCAGCGAGACAGAGACAGGGAGCAATTTAGAAATAAATAATGAAGAGCAAAAACATACAACATTCACAAGGACGAGGGAGCCAGAGCAGAACCAAATTGAAAATCACAGGAACCAGGAACCAACAGGGAAGTAACAAGAACAACCAGCAATAAGAGAGTTTACGTGAAAATTAGTTCAACTTTGATTATTTCTGCCAATACTTTTGCCTTGAGCCTTCATTTGCAAACTAAACAAGAACAACTACATAGAACACCGCCCATAAATATATATATATATGTATAAAATAGCTACATTTAAATTAAAGATGTAAAATATAATGCAGAACTATTTAACAGAACTAAACTCATTCACAATGGAACATTAGTCCTGTATGCTGGATATTAACAAAAACTTCACAATGTGATTACCTTTTCTGAATTTCACTTTTCAGTCGAGTCGTCAATTTTTTTTCTTTTACATTTTTCAATATTGTTTTTTCAAAATCCTCATTCAATTAACAGTATTCTTAGGATTGCTTGGATAATTCAAAATAAAATCTTAAGAGAAAAAATTATTTCTATATATATATGTTTATATACAATATTTTTTACTCATATCTTTAGCTAGACGGTAGATCAGAAAAGTTCATATGGATGATATTCCTGAAAATCTGAACCAGAACCAAATCTCTGTTGCACAGATCAACTAACAGAATCTTCTATAGGTTAGCTTACTGAAGAAACTTAAATACTTAGACTTTTACACCGAATTGTGAGTCGATAGTTTCTTGAAATTTCAAGCACTTTACAAAAGTCAGGTGTGGCTCGATAACATAATCAAGAAACTCATCTCTAAGTCACAAAGGGAAAATAGAAACAGATTAGCTTTCGTCTTAATCAATCGCATTAGTGTGGTTTTAAGCATACAGGATTACAGGACATCTAAATACAGCAGAAACGTTTTATTAGGATTGTTAGGATAAACCTGGATTTCATCAAGCAGACTAACAATGTCTGATTTTTAAAGTGTTTGTTTTTTCTTTATTAGGACAAGACATGTAGGTTGAACAGATTGCAATTAGTTTTCTTTAGCCAAATAAGGGAATGACTGTCCTTTATTATCCATAAAAAGTAATTGGACAATGATTATAGAACAGGTATACTCTCATTACTTCCAATACATATACAGCATTGTACACAAGCGTGAAACAGTTATGAGCAATAAAGACATGTAGTTGAGAATGTTTAGAGGTTCACATAGAGTAAAAATCTTATACATTTAAATCAAGATTTATCTTTTTAGATTTTCAAAAAAATAAAAAATACAAAGGCTGCAAGGACTTCTAAAGAAGATCCAATAAATGTAATATCTTTGATTAAAATATTAACATGGCCAACTTTTTATACTATAAGTGCGATTTAAAAAGTGTTATACATACCCTTCGATAATGCAGCATTGTCCCAAAAAATGGGACAGGTTTAGGACCAGAAACACCTAATTTCTTGAAAGTTCCATAAGGCCAGTAGGCATACCTGTGGATAAATACGTCTGAAAAGTTATGTGTGAAGTAAAAACAAAAGCATTAAATGCTGAGCAGAAGAGAATAGAACAAATGGCAGATTCAGATTCAAGTAATTGGAAGAAATAAATAGATCAATACTCATTCATTAACACTCACACAAGGAGGAGTGTGACAAAGGCAACCAGCAGAGTCCACGTCTCAGTGGAGAAGTACAAGAAGTAACCCATCTGTCCTCCCAGTGGAAGTATCTGTCTCTGTGATACCAAATGTCACCACCTGTACCTTTTATCTTCTGCTGTACTGATCTGTTGCGCAAGGTGAAGTGTGTTAAAGTTAAACCAATGGTAGTGAGGTGTGTCCGGGGAATATTATTAATATTACATAACTATTCTCCTCTCATGAGAACGTCTTATCCTATGTACATCTCAGGCTTTAATCATTACTGCTCCATCTGACAATGTCTACTACTTTAAAGTTAAAACTTTGTTGTGTCTTTTTTGAGATTTATGAATACAATCTAAATTATGAGGGCCACTTTCAACAGTTTTACTGTCATATATTCTGGAGAGAAGAAGAAAATCTGTTTTCAATGCCATTTTTCTGCTTGTTTTTAAGATTTCTAGTTTTCTACTGTCCTCGTTCAGACATGCCCAGTCATGGCATGGCACATTGGATTTATGAGTAGCAGAAACTGCTTTTACTGCTTTTCCTGTAGAGCCAAATGAGGCCAAAAGGTAAACAGTTACGTAACTCTTAATACAGGGAATAGACAGTTAGTGCCTGCAATCGGATTCAAAGTACAAAAAAAAAAAAAAAACTGAGCTCAACAGTTTTTAAGATTTCTAGTTTTCTACTGTACTCATTCAGACATGCCCAGTCATATTGGATTTATGAGTAGCAGAAATCCAATTGTTTTTTCTGTAGAGACAAATAAGGGTAACCAGTTTTCTAACTGCGGGCACCAATAGATTATTGGCCCCTGCGGTCAAATTCAAAGTACAAAATAAATAAATAAATAAATAAATAAATAACAAAAGACGTTGGATATGTCACATCAGTCATGGACTTTTTTCCTTTCTTCTCCTCTGATTTATGGTTTCTTCTGATCTCATTTTTGATATCATGTTTGTTTTGAAAGTATTTTTGTGATCAAATAAGTTGTGGTCACTCTGAATAGTCAATCTTCACTCTTCAAAATAAATGCATCAAAATGTTATTGCCATGAAAATAAATTACACTTGCTGTATTGTATCCTGTCCAGGTATGGCCACTGAACATATGGAGTGTTTGAAAAGTCACTCAAGCCACTCATGTATTGGAGGACAGCTGGGAGGCATAACCAGATAATTAGATAGTATGAGAGGAATAAATAAGGGGTGTTTTATGATTTCACTATTTACATTTAAGTCTGATAATCAGTAGATGTTTGGTTTTTCAGGTGTATTACTTGGATGACAATTAATGTGCTAAAAAGTATGGAAAAGTATTGGTTTGAGTCCAAACTTTTTTTTAAATTTATTTATTTACAACCACAGTGGCATCTACTTTAGTATTGACTCTGTATTTTCTAAATTTAAATATTTGAGAAGTCAGAAATCTCCAAGGTTTTATGCCAAACTGCCCAACAGGTAATGACACGTGTGTCATGTGTGTTATTCTTCAGCTTGTATGAGCTCAGGAGGCCCATGCTGACTGTGATTTGTCAGTTTTTGTTAGAAAAAACTGACAACTGTCAGTTGTTATGTACAATTTCACTCATTGTGCATGGTGTAGTGAGTGCTATTGGTTTACACATTCCTAGTGATAAAATGATAAAACACACAGCCTATCAGTTAAAAGTGTCATACTACTTTATGAATCATTCTCTTTTAGTGCTGTTTTTTAAGATTTTGGTAATGAGAACAAACAGAATATCAACCCGTACACTTACCTGCCGTTTAGGATCAGATCATGGAACTGTCTGGGCATACTATTTGCTCTGGTAATAATCAAACTGGCTTTGGTGAAAGTTTTGCAGAACCACAGCTTCCTGGTCTGTGATGAGACTGAGGTATTACTACAAAAGTAGTTTTCTTTCAAAAATATACAGTAACAAATGTCAAAGTACATTCCGCAGAAAAATAGAAAAGGAGCTGCTTGACTTTTTCCCTCTGAGGGATCTTGGGAAATAATCCCTCAATCAAACTAAAACTACGGAAACACTCCCTCAACTCAGGAGACGTGGACAATTGAAAACAACAGGCTGTCTGACTGTACATCGCACAAGGGTAAGCTTATGTATGTAGTTGTTTGTAGCAGTTTTATTTGATAAAGAGCATTTAAGACTATTTTTTTATTTATGTTTATGAACAGCAATATTTTAGTTGAATATTTTGGAACATTGTCTTTTGGTTTCCTACATAATATAAAAGTGCCCTTCTGTTTCTCATCCTCACCTCAGTTTACCCACTTTCCTGTTGAAATCATATTGATCAAATAGAAAAAAACATTTGTCAAAGTATGAACTTATTAAAGAGAACGTTATTAAGATATTAAGATAATTTGCCCCCAAATATTCTTTAGAATTATATTGAAATACGACTGATGAAAGAGCACAATTTTTCACTATTATTTATAAACTGTTACCTTTTACAAAATAATGGGTCCATATAAAGTAAATCTTTGTCCTCATAAGCAATAATGACAACACATTATGAAGAAAAAAACCCAAATGTCATTTACTGAAGCTGCAGACATGCCTTCCAGAAAGTACATATTCCATCTGTTTGCTAAACATAAGGATGTTTATCTGCAGAAATCTTCAACCAAGCTGTTTTGAAAACCAAATTTAAAACACTTTTAGTGCCTGAAAGAACAATTTCTTTCACCATTACTTTAAATAAAACTAATAATTCATTTCAAATAAGGGGATAAATTGCAGCCTTCATAGTGCTTCCTAGTGGGAAGTCATTTCCCTGTTGATCCAAAAGTGGGAAATGGTTGACATGAATGTGGAACTGACTCCTTTAACATTGTTCTTAACCCAGACTATAAACTGCATCATAGACAGATGGATGGTTAGAAAACTCCTTACCTTATCAATCTAAACCAGAGGAGATTTGTTAGTCAAAGAAAAACTTTAGAGCATGCATGAAGATTAGTACATATCCTACAACGAATACACAAAGCTGAAACAAAAGTGGAAGTAGTTCTTCATTTGTTCAAATGAACTTTAGTCCATAAAGTGATGGGCCAAACTAATTTGCAGATGGTTTGACTACATCCACAATAATCACTATGTAAGCTTTTCTTTTCATTGGAGAAAGAAATATGATAGGGATGCAATATTTATGCCCTTTCTTTGTCCTCATTTATAAAACAGTACAGTACAGTAGGAGAATAAAACGATTGACTTTTGTAAAGATTTTTTAGATATATAAATATATTTTTTACAAGTTTTAGAAATCAAAAAGGATGAGTATAATTAGCATAATCTCAGTGTTGAGAATGTGGCTGTTTTGGCTATAAGGCCACATATATAGGGCCACAATAATATTTGTGAAACATTATTATACTAAGTATGTGTATATTATGTAAATTACTTTTCAATGTAATCTGGCATACTTGTATGTAGATATTTAGCAATATTAAATGCCCTGGTAAAAAAAACACTAAGGAGTTTCAGTAACTACTTTAAAATCTATGCAGGAGCCAATTGATTTTAATAATTCAAATGTCATTGAATGACAACAATCTGTTGATATTGTTAGAACAATACACATAAGGCAGGTCTATCTTTAGAAATACTCATGTTAAAATGGTTTAAAAAAAAACTAAAAAAAAATATGTATGCTACCCCTTCCATATGAAATTGTAAATTTTTGGTTGACTCTAAACAAGGAAGATCAAGTAAATATAAACTATAAGGGTTTATGAGTGTTTTACAATTCTGTGGCAAAGGGTCATAATATTAAGCTGACTATGCAGAGGAGAACAAACATGCGAGTCACATGTCTGGGTGTGTTAAATCAGGTGAAAAAGTAGCTGGAGTTATAGTAGCGAGAGCTCAGTAACTGCTCGGGTTAGGGATGAATCATTTGGCCTTTAGATAAAACAAATAATCCTGGTTTCATTAGTCCACACAATGGTTTAAGGATAGCAACTTCGCTTCAGGCCAGTCCATGTTATTTAGCAAACTAACATTTCCAGAATAACATGTTTCTGTTTAATTCTGTTTCTTGTTTTGGCAATTTTTGCACTTCTTCATAGTTTAAAACATTTAGAATAATTTCGGCAAAGAAGCCCAAAATTTCCTGCACTATGGGCTCCAGAACAATTTCTAGAACAAGTATTTGCAACATTTTCAATCCATAGACATTTTCCCTCAGTCCAGCGAAAACAAAAACAAACAAAAAATTTAGTCAAAGCCACATATACCATTACCTGACTTTTGAAAAGAAGGCATCTTAATTTTGTTTATATCTACTACAGAAAATCTGTTGCGATTTTGAAATAACATTTTTTTATTCCCATTTTTAGATTTGAAATGAAAACATAAAATGTTTTTTAAAAAGATGATGGCTACAGTTTCTTATATAGGATGTTACTCGCACAGTTTTCAGCCTCATAACATAAAAAATAGATCTTAAATAATTGTTTTTTCACTGGTTAAAATAGCAATAATTAACCAACAAGGCGGTTTGTTGCACTGCAAAAAGGCCTAAAGAGAGCCACTGGCCTGGTAAGCGATGTTAAACTTCTGTTATCAGTTATGGGATTTTCAAGAAACAAGAAAACAACAAAAATAAGTTCACATTTTTATAAAAAAAATATTTGCCCACTGCTTTTTATATTAAAAATGCATTTTACTTTCTTTTGATATTGTTAGAACATAAATACTATTTGTTTTTTGAAACAGTTTCAGAAAGTCAACAGCAAATCCCATAAGTAAGAATGAATCAGAATAAAAATAAAATAAATAACATTTGATAGTTACTGTATCATTGCAGAAACTGTAGAGAACATGTTGGCCAAAACTGAAATAAAGTCACACAGCAGCAACCAGTGTGCTGCAGTGTGAAACATTTTAGACAAGTCCACTGAGAGAACACCAACAACACAGCATGGCCAGGTGTTACTGATAAAACATAGCACGAAAGTCTCTCTCCCAGTTTTTATCTTTTTGTTCTTTTCTCTTGATCTCATCCTTCTTCTGTCCTCTCTTTCCCTTTTCTTCTTTCTCTTGGTATTGATTTTTTACAGCATCAGCATCACCAGCTTTGAAGTGAGTCACTTTAGGTCTTTTTATTGGTCCAAATCCCAGACCTTTCTGGTCTCTTTTTAATACGGTGGATACGGGCTGCTTAGTGCCATCTGCCTCTGGGCCCAGGCCCGTACCAGGTTTCCAGCCGCAGCGAACCATCATCCTGTAGCTGTTGCTGGACGAGGGAAGGCAGTAGTAAGGCGTAGGCTCAGGGCGGCCCAGACTAAACTGATGCAGAGTAGAGGAAATATGTGACGAGTGGCTGCCTTCGTACTCGGAATGGCACACATCGCACCACTGAGGCTGGAGCAAACTGAGAACATTAAGAAAACATGTCAGAGCAGCCATGCCAGAAACATCTGACTGTCTTAACTCAGTGAATATAGCACTATGGATTTGGTTGTCAATTCTGATGAAGTAAGAGTGAATTCTTCTTTTAATAAAATGTGCATACAATATAGAAATTTGGACGTCTTTTTAGTTTATAGTCTTGTAGTTTGACAAATGTGCAACAGAGCAGGCAGTTTACAAATGGCTGTATCTTAAAAAGCAGATGCATCGTTATCACTATGGGCCATATGTTTTTTAAAAAAATTTTAATATAGTTTAACAGTTGATATCTGACACTAGACATGCATAAATTAAATTATATTTTAGGCTTTAAATATTGCTTCAAAGTACAGTCTCCAAAACTAAATGCTGAGCTGCTTTGTGGAAGGACAAGGACACATGTTTTTTTCTACAGCAATCCAAAAAGTGTGCACCCATTTGTGTTTTGCAGGTCTGCAGTTGTCCCATATTCTTTGTTCTATTGCAACATGAAGGACTTAAGTAAAGGTTATGTTTGGTAGGAAGAAATCTCCATGGAGAAATGTACAGACAGTTCGATCTGCAAGACAACTCTGCCACAGGGCAGAACGAAAATGCCATTAAACTCAACTTCACATTCATAATGACATCTGTAAAGAAGAACTATGGAACTATCACTCAACACTAAAACATGCAAGGCAGGCTTTCTTTGCAGATGTCATAAACAAAAACATTAACAATGCTCAAGCTTTATTTGCAACAGTTGACAGGCTCACAAACCCTCCTGTGACGTTACCACCTGAATTCCAATCTAATGCTGCCTGTAACAAGTTTTCCAATTTCTTTTCAGAGAAAATTTTAAAAAATCAGAGGATTAATCTGCACATCAACTCTAAAGCCAGAACCATTGCTGTACCCCAACAAAACAAATACAGAAAAAATTACCCATTTTCAACTACTTAATTATAAAAAGCTAGAAGACATTATAAGTAAATTAAGTTCAAGCTCCTGCTGTCTGGATGTTGTGGAGAATATAAGTTTGGTTAGCATAACTTTAGAGACACTCAATCTTTGTGCATATGAAATATTAGATCTAGCATGAACATTTTGAGTAGATTCTAAGTTAGGTAAACTTAGATCCACAACTAAAACAACGGTTGACTCTCTGAACTCACATAAATTACTAAGGGCCTTCAGGCAGGGGAGTATCCAGCCACAGAAAAGTCTGTTTTTTATCAGAATCAGTGAATTCTTTAGAATAGACTTTACAATACTGTTGTTAGTTTACAAATCACTTAACTGTTTAGCACCACAATACATTAAAGATCGGAACGGTTGTTGTATCAACCTTCCCGACCTCTCCGGTCTTCTGGTTCTGGTCTGCTGTACATCCCCAGAACCAGAACCAAAAGAGGAGAAGCAGCTTTCAGCATCTATGCACCAAAAATTTGGAACAAACTTTCGGAAAACTGTAAAAACAGCAAAAACCCTGACTTCCTTTAAATCTCAACTAAAAACGCATCTGCTTAGAATTTTATTTGAAACGTAATATGGAACAATGTATTGTTTATTCTAGGTTGCATGACTTTGTGTTTATGATGTAAAACACTTTGAAATGCCTTGCTGTTGAAACAAATAAAATATGATTGATTGATTTATGCATTTAACAGTTCTCTGTGACAAGTTTAATACTTGGGATATTGTTTTATAACAGCCCTGCTTTAAACTTCTTTCTTCATGAACTGTCTAAAGTTTATTTAGCTTTTCATTAAGTTCATACAGCTCAAGTCCATTCACTAATTAAATTGTATCTAAATTGTATATGTATACAACTGATTCAAAAGAAATAGCCACAATTTGAAATATCTAAAATTAGAAAACAATCTCTAGCTTTTCACCAGGAGTAGGTGAGGGCAAATCCAAATATAACCTAAGTTTATGGAAAAAATAAAATTCAAATAAAATGAAGTTTGTGGATGTGATATTATAAAGTGAAAGTGGTATGATTACTATTATTATTACTATTTATCTTAGATAAAACATCCAAACAAAAGAGTGTTTTAGCTTCACATCTCCTTGTTTTGTATCACATCATTTTCATATTAAGTTACACAGATACTTTGATCTGTTGCTTTATAGAGTTTATTTTAGAAAACTTTATTTGGTTAAAAAAAAAAAAAAAAAAATATATATATATATATATATATATATATATATATATATATATATATATATATATATATATATATATATATATATTCATAAGCAACATCACCTTTCCACAAAACATTCAGATGAATGCATTTTCCGTTTTTCCATGGGTATCTTAGTTTTTGTACACCACTGTAACTTATTTGCACCAAAGGTGCATTTTTTTCAGTTGTAATTACATGTCATTACAATTCTAACCTGCAAAGAGAAGATGTCTCTCTCTGTGGACTTTTTCCAAAACTTAATAACTCTTCCAGGACACCATCATGGCCAGCTGTGAAGAAAGCGAGTGAGTAAAGATATTCAGAAAAAATATACAAACCAAAATATTATGAACATAGACTGGTTAGCACAGACAAATGAAGATACCTTCTGATGCCAGATCTTGGGCATCCTTGCCTCTTGTATCAACCACTCCGACCCAGGCTGCACCGTGCATCAGCAGCAGTCTCACTGCAGCTTTCTGTCCTGACCAGCTGGCACACATAACAGCTGTCCACAGGTAGGAGTCCTGTAGGACAAAACGCAAACTGATAAATAACATTAAATCAAGAACAACACTAGGTGTTGCTACCTGGAAATTAATGTCCACTCCTTTTGAGATCAGCTCCTTGAGTCCTGCAATGTCCCCCTGATGAGCGCAGCGCAGCAGCCTGAGCCCCTGCAGCTCCTGGGCTCTCTCTGATCTCTCATACTGTCTTCTTTGGTTGTCTTCTCTTTCAGGTCTTGCCTCCATTTGGACCATAGACTCGGGTCGAACCTGCTGAACTCGTCCAGCCCTGATCTGCCTCCTCATTCTTCTATCAGAGCCCCTATTAGGATTGTTCCTGTGAGTGGCTGTCACTGACTGGTCCTTCTGGGTTTTGTCATCTTTAATCAGGTCTTCATAGAATCTCCTGACTTCTTCTCCGCTTATTTTGGAACTTTTGTTGGTGGACGTTTGTTCCGTTCCGAAACTAAAAGCATCTTGGTCGTTGGCAGGAATAAATCCTAAAGCAGCCATTCCACGCGATTTTCAACTTACGACGTTCCCGGTTAAATGTTCCCTGCTGCTTCAGCAGTTACCTTAATTAAGCAATGCCAGTTGCCTGATAACGGCATAGCAATTTGCAGTCCATGCTGAAAATTGCAACACCAAATAGTAGGCTAAGCCGAACCCTAAACAATCTTTAGCCACAAGCACAACATAAACTAACCGCCAGCAGTGGTAAGTAGTTAACTTTAACTCAAGACAAGACGGTAAGTGATTAGATAGTAATCTTTCACACTACCAGGGCAGCTTAAGACAGAAACTCGGCATCTTAAGCAAAAAGAACAGAAAATCTTCGCGATCGTTCAAGCTAACGTTTTTTTTCCAGGAGCACTAAACGTTTCGAGAACAAATTTGAGTGCTGCCACCTACCGGTTTGGGTGTTAACATTTCTACTTAACTGTGATTCTTCTTCCTGCTTGAAATTCAACTTGAAATAAATGAGAAATCTCGTATTTCGGACCTCAGGCAGTTTGTATTCAATAAAGTAAAAACATAAAAACCTATGTTTTAGCTTTGTAGTATTTTAATAATTTGGTTACATTGATATTTATAAAGGAATATTTAAACTAAGCACACAAAATGAAGAGAAATAAGACATCTCCTTCAGCTTGTGCAGCTAACCACCCTGGTCTCTGAGTACAGTAGTTTATAAAGCCTACAGTATTTTTTTTCTATGTTTACCAGAAGATGGTCGAGTTTGATTTGATATTTGTTCCAAAATGTGTCTTATAATTTTCAAGATAAATGGAATGCTGCACATGTATTTTGTTCTCAGGTCACTTTCTGGGATGATCTTAATTCTCCACTACACTTAACACATGATTGATTTTGAACAAAAGATCAAGAAGTCGTGTTGGCTTTTTGTACCTATTTTATCTACATTACAACTGATATGCTTCATATTTACGCTGTAAATAGTTGGTAACATTTTCTTCGAGCATTATCAAAGGCAACCCAAATATCACCAGATCTACTTGCAGCAAAGCTTGAGAACCAGTGGTCTAATTTTTTTTAAATCCATTTTGCCATGGCTTTACTAAGCTGTTTCTCATTAAATCCGGATCTAAACAGTGAGACTTCACAGATGATGGCATCCTCACATTATGATGACAAAAAAACAAGGCAGTTGTACAGAAGGCTCCCCTTTTATTGTGTTATGGCAGGGGTGTCTAAAAAGCAAATTCTGAAAATATAATTGAATATGGCCCGCACAAAAAGCTTGAGCTCAACTCTGTTGCACTTCTCAGTTTCAACACTAGATGGAGCCAGCCACAGAAACGAAATTAAGCAAAGGAAAACTAATACCGTGAGTCACCAGAAATGGCAACACAGAACAAATGCACAATAGCAAGTGAGTGTAGGAGAAGTACTTTTTCAAAGAAATCAACGGAAAGTGTGTCTGTTTAATTTGCAATGAAGATGTTGCTGTAATGAAAGAGCATAATGTCCGTCGGCACTAAGAGATCAAACATCAAAGCTCCACATCGTACACTGGTGCAGAACGAACACAGAAAGTCAAGCAAATGACAGCTAGCCTGCAAACTCAACAGCAGGTTTTTGTGCTAATAAAATACAGGAAAACGCCACAACAGCAAGCTAAACTACAGTCGCTAAACTACAGTCGCTAAACTTATTGCCCAGCATGACAAACCGTTTTCAGACGGTGATTTCATAAAGCAGTGCCTCATCAAAGACACATAAATAATGTGCCCAGATAAAGTGTTTGATTTCAACAATGTGAGCTTATCTAGAAATACTACAGTGGTGCGGAGAATCGAGGACTTGTCAGCTAACCTGAAACTTCAGCTGAGAGATAAAGCCAGGACCGGCGAGCGCAAAGGAACGGCATCGTTGGTGTGCGCAAAGGTAAAAGACAGCGGAGGTGAGGCTGTTAGGATGAATTGTATAATCCATCAAGAAGCGCTGTGCCAAGATTGTCCAGCTGAGCGATGTGATGAAATGTTATTAACTCAACATAATTTGAGCTAGAGGAATGACCCACAAAGATTTTCAGGCTTTCTAATCTGACGTGGAAGCTGAATACGGGGATTTACTCTACCACTCTGATGTGCGCTGCTGCAGCACTTTTATTCGCTGAGATCAGAAATCGACCAGTTTTAAAAGAGAAGAGTGCTTTTGATTTTTTCATGAATCATGAACTAAGTGACCCTCTGGCTGGCAGATCTGGCATTTTTAGTTGATCTTACACATCATCTGAATACACTGAACAAGAACCTACAAGGAAAAGAACAGCTGCTTAAGAACATGAAAGCCTTCTGCATAAGCTCCGCCTATTTGAGGCACATATGTCACCTCTAGTATATGGCCTGGCCCTTTGTTTATTTTTCTATATTTGGCCCTCACTAAAAAAAGTTTGGACACCCCTGAGATAGCGGTATTGATAGTGGAGACAGATCTGTTTGAGAAGAAAGAGCATGCTTCAAAATTATGTCTGTGCTTGGAACCAATTCCACAGCTTTTTAAAGTGCACTGTATATTGATGCAACTTTTCTGTTGAATGCCAATATTCGTTCAGAAACATTACATTTGGGTCAACAGGTGAATAATGCAATCAGTTTCAATTTTACATGCATGAAGAAATTTACTCCATGACAATTTATGTGATTTTCCCAAAGGTTTGTGTGAGCAAAATAAAAACTCTGCTCAGTCAAAAGAGAGACAGTCCAACCTGCTCTGTCTATATTCCAAAACAAAACAGATGTTGACAGTTTCTCATGGACACAGAACCAGTGCTTCTCATAATCACAATTAGCTCCCTATGAAACACAGTTAATTCATTATAATATTTAATATCGGAAAAAGGAGAGATTAAAGTTTTGAATTTTGCAAGAAGTTGTTGTAAAAGAATTAAATTTTGGAAGCTTCCATTCATATACATAGTTTATAGCGGACAAGTCAAATTGCACAGCTGTGTGAGTCCAATCAGAATGTGATGTAACTTTTACACCTTGTTGAGATAAAATCAATACCTAATCACACATTAGATCTCACCTTATAAGATTTACTGGGCACATATCAACAAAAAACAAAATGAATATTAAATACCAATTTTTTTTTTTTTTTCACAATAAAAGAACGTGCTCCGAGTCAACCATAAAGAACACTCCTCCTGAAATAGTCAAATCAAAACTAGGGAAGGCTTTGTAGATGCGAAATGAACATAAGTTTGATTTTACGAGCCAAATTTTTCCTCTAAGTCAGAGATGGCATTTATAATTTTTGTCAAGTGAACCACTGTCAGCAAGCAGCTCTTCTTTGCTAGAAATAGAAAAAACAGGAGACTTATTCACATCCGCATTCAAATCACCGTCTCGAAAATGAACTAAGACTTCAAATCATTTCATGCCGTAGTTTGGACAACCTTGCTTTAGGCTATAAGCCTATTTTATTTTTTGCTAAGGAAGAAAAGACTTCAAGCAAGTGGGTAGTGGACATAATTTCTCATTTGGAGCCCACTGCTACTACAAATAATTTTCTAGAGAAGATGCAGAGGGCTTATGAATTTCTCCTCTCTGTAGGAAATGTATCTCAACGGAGTAACTAAATTTATACTTCATCTTGTTATTGTTCCTATCTTCAGTTATTAACTTGTTAGATACAAGGAGCCTTGTTCCTATATGAATCTCTAAGAAATGAACCATTCTACATACACTGTTTTTGTCCAAGTAGTAAAAATCAATTCCATCTTTAATCTCTTTTATATTTGTGCAGCTCTCATACATTTTATGTTTAAGGATGACTTGTTCAAAGTACAAGAATATACGTTTACTGTTTCATCTCTTTCTGATCTGCACAATACTCGTCCAATATTGTGCAGATCACAATTTTATCACGATCTGAGCACTATTTATTTCTGTTTGTAAGTAATGTCATTGTTGCACTTAATACCCTTCCTTCTCAATTTCAAGACCCAGAACTGTTCTTCGTGAATGCTCCTGCGTCATTCTTTTTTTTTTTTTTTGCAAACTTTGTTTATTTGGTGTTTAACAGGAATTGCATAGCCACACATTTAAAATGTGATACATATAAAACAAACCATAAAATTCCCTTAAGTTATAAAAACAAAACAAACAAAAAAACCACAACAAAACAAAACGACCTCCAATAACTCCAAGGCAATAAGAAAAGGTTTTTGAGATAAATAAAATTAAGATGCATTCTGTCATACCTAAAAAAGTACAGTTTGTGCCCAGCAAAGTAAATATGGAACCGTAAGAAAGGGAAAATACAAGGGAAAGGACACAGAATGAGCAGACAAATACACACACAAAGGACAAGACTGGGACAGAATGAAAATGAACTTGACCAACCAAGTGTAGTAATGGCTGCCATATTTCTGTAAATTTGTCAGAGGAACCCCGCAGTGACATCCTAATTTTCTCAAGTTTAAGAAAATAAACAATATCCCTCAACCAATGTATGAAAGAAGGAGGTTGTGGTGATTTCCATTTAAGAAGAATTATCCTCCTTGCAATAATGGTCATAAAAGACAAAGAATTTTCTTGGGAAGAGGACAAAGGATATGGTCCCGAAAACAAAGCTTCTCAGTTGTTGTTCAAACCACAAAACTAAACTGCTTCACAGTACTTCTATATTTATTTCACTGAGAGAAAGCTTTTTTCGTCTTAGTCTTATTTTTGACTTCTTTCACTGAGATCAACACTGGAATTGTTCAAAACACTAAAATATACTGCTTCTCAGTACTTTTATGCTGTTTCAATAATTATGAAGCTGAACTTTCATGAATTTGCAGAAAATTACACAGTGGTGCATTTTTGACTTATTTCACTGAGAGAAAGCGTTTTTCGTCTTAGTCTTATTTTTGACTTCTGTCACTGAGATCAACACTGGAATTGTTCAAAACACTAAAATATACTGCTTCTCAGTACTTCTAAGCTGTTTCAAAGATTATGAAGCTGAACTTTCATGAATTTGCACAAAATTACACAGTGGTGCATTTTTGACTTATTTCACTGAGAGAAAGCTTTTTTCGTCTTAGTCTTATTTTTGACTTTTTTCACTGAGATCAACACTGGAATTGTTCAAAACACTAAAATATACTGCTTCTCAGTACTTCTAAGCTGTTTCAAAGATTATGAAGCTGAACTTTCATGAATTTGCAGAAAATTACATAGTGGTGCATTTTTGACTTATTTCACTGAGAGAAAGCTTTTTTCGTCTTAGTCTTTTTTGACTTCTTTCACTGAGATCAACACTGGAATTGTTCAAAACACTAAAATATACTGCTTCTCAGTACTTCTATGCTGTTTCAAAGATTATAATGCTGAACTTTCATGAATTTGCAGAAAATTACACAGTGGTGAATTTT